GGGTTAGTGGCTAATCAGCCCATGATCACACATAACTGTGATGTCATGCATTTGGTATCTTTTAATTTTTGGGGGGAGAACTTGCTATGACTCAGCTATGACCGTAAACGGTCTCGGCACGTCAAGCAGAATTGTAGCTGGGCTTATTCACTATGCTAGGATCTTGCATTATATCATATAAGGTGTTATTCAGTCAATGGTTACAGGACATATACCTCAACCCCAATGATCAACCGGGACAGACAAGGCGCACCCACGTATACGCGCACACGTACATACGTACACACGTACACTCACACACGTACACACGCACGTATGCGCACCCGCACACACGTACACACGCACGTATGCGCACCCGCACACACGTACACACGCACGTATGCGCACCCGCACACACGTACACACGCACGTATGCGCACCCGCACACACGTACACACGCACGTATGCGCACCCGCACACACGTACACACGTACGCACGCGCGTTTATCCAACAGATAAACAACTAGCTTAAACAAACCCCCCTTACCCCCCGTAACCCTACAACATAGAAATGCGTCTATTATTGTCTTGCCAAACCCCAAAAACAAGACTAAACACATATTCAATCATAAGGCCCGAGCGCAGATCTAAGACCCCTACAACCCAATAAATACCAAATCTAAGCATCTGCATTATCCTAGCTGTTCGTGGATATCTATAGATATATGTTGCTCGCTCTAGCTCGTCCCTATCTAACCTCCAATAACCGTAACACAAACCACAACGACCCAGACAAATAAAATTAACGTTAATGTAGCTTAAACACGCAAAGCAAGGCACTGAAAATGCCTAGATGAGTCGTCAGACTCCATAAACATAAAGGTTTGGTCCTGGCCTTTCCATTAGTTATTAACAGGATTACACATGCAAGTCTCCGCATCCCGGTGAAAATGCCCTCTAAATCACTAACCGACCTAAAGGAGCGGGCATCAAGCACACACACGTAGCTTATGACGCCTTGCTTAGCCACACCCCCACGGGATACAGCAGTGGTAAAAATTAAGCCATGAACGAAAGTTCGACTAAGCCATGTTAAACAGGGTTGGTAAATCTCGTGCCAGCCACCGCGGTCATACGATTAACCCAAATTAATAGATATACGGCGTAAAGCGTGTTATAGAGCAAACCCCAACGATAAAGTTAAACCTTAACTAAGCTGTAAAAAGCTGCAGTTAATGTGAAAATAATACACGAAAGTAGCTTTAACACATCCGACTACACGATAGCTAAGACCCAAACTGGGATTAGATACCCCACTATGCTTAGCCCTAAACCCAGACAGATAACTAAACAAATCTGTCCGCCAGAGAACTACTAGCAACAGCTTAAAACTCAAAGGACTTGGCGGTGCTTTACATCCCTCTAGAGGAGCCTGTTCTATAATCGATAAACCCCGATACACCTCACCACCCCTTGCTAATCCAGCCTATATACCGCCATCCTCAGCAAACCCTAAAAAGGAAGAACAGTAAGCACAAGTATCCTGACATAAAAAAGCTAGGTCAAGGTGTAGCCCATGGGGTGGGAAGCAATGGGCTACATTTTCTGCACCAGAACACTTCCATACGAAAATTCTTATGAAATTAAGGATTAAAGGAGGATTTAGTAGTAAATTAAGAACAGAGAGCTTAATTGAATCGGGCCATAAAGCACGCACACACCGCCCGTCACCCTCCTCAAGTGACACACAACCTAATAATCCTATTTAACTCATAATAAACACAAGAGGAGACAAGTCGTAACAAGGTAAGCATACTGGAAAGTGTGCTTGGATAACAAGATGTAGCTTAAATAAAGCATCTGGCCTACGCCCAGAAGATTTCATGTTAAACTGACCATCTTGAGCCAAACCTAGCCCAAACAACCACAAACTCAACTAACACAAGCACGTAAACCAAAACATTCAACAATTCATAAAAGTATAGGAGATAGAAATTTGATTTGGCGCTATAGAGACAGTACCGCAAGGGAAAGATGAAAGAACGGATTAAAAGCATCACACAGCAAAGCTTACACCTTGTACCTTTTGCATAATGAGTTAGCTAGACATAGTCTAACAAAGAGAACTTAAGCTAGACCCCCCGAAACCAGACGAGCTACCTACGAACAATCTTTACAGGATGAACTCGTCTATGTTGCAAAATAGTGAGAAGATTCGTAGGTAGAGGTGAAAAGCCTATCGAGCCTGGTGATAGCTGGTTGCCCAGAATAGAATTTTAGTTCAACTTTAAACTTGCCTAAAAAACCCAAAATTCTAATGTAAGTTTAAAATATAATCTAAAAAGGTACAGCTTTTTAGAACTAGGATACAACCTTCGTTAGAGAGTAAGCACAAACACAACCATAGTTGGCTTAAAGGCAGCCACCAATTAAGAAAGCGTTAAAGCTCAACAATTATCATACCTCAATACCAAAAACACACAACAAACTCCTAACTTAATACTGGGCTAATCTATTTAATAATAGAAGCAATAATGCTAATATGAGTAACGAGAAATACTTCTCCTTGCACAAGTTTATATCAGAACGGATGCCCACTGATAGTTAACAGCAAGATATAAACAACCCAACTATAAACCAAATATCTTAAACCAACTGTTAATCCAACACAGGCGTGCACCCAAGGAAAGATTAAAAGAAGTAAAAGGAACTCGGCAAACATAAACCCCGCCTGTTTACCAAAAACATCACCTCTAGCATTTCCAGTATTAGAGGCACTGCCTGCCCAGTGACACAAGTTAAACGGCCGCGGTATCCTGACCGTGCAAAGGTAGCATAATCACTTGTTCTCTAAATAAGGACTAGTATGAATGGCCACACGAGGGTTTAACTGTCTCTTACTTCCAATCAGTGAAATTGACCTTCCCGTGAAGAGGCGGGAATATAACAACAAGACGAGAAGACCCTATGGAGCTTCAATTAATTGACCCAAAGAGACATAATTATAACCAACAGGGACAACAACTCTCCACATGGGTCAACAATTTAGGTTGGGGTGACCTCGGAGCATAAATCAACCTCCGAGTGATTTTAATCTAGACTAACCAGTCAAAAGTATAACATCACTTATTGATCCAATACACTTGATCAACGGAACAAGTTACCCTAGGGATAACAGCGCAATCCTATTCTAGAGTCCATATCGACAATAGGGTTTACGACCTCGATGTTGGATCAGGACATCCCGATGGTGCAGCAGCTATCAAAGGTTCGTTTGTTCAACGATTAAAGTCCTACGTGATCTGAGTTCAGACCGGAGCAATCCAGGTCGGTTTCTATCTATTACGCAATTCCTCCCAGTACGAAAGGACAAGAGAAATGGGGCCCACTTCACTAAAGCGCCCCAAGTACAATAGATGATATGATCTCAATCTAAACAACTCACACAACCCACCGCCCGAGAGCCTCGGGCTTGTTAGGGTGGCAGAGCCCGGTAATTGCATAAAACTTAAACCTTTACTATCAGAGGTTCAACTCCTCTCCCTAACAACATGTTCGCACTTAACATTCTCTCACTAACCATTCCTATTCTTCTAGCCGTAGCTTTCCTAACTCTAGTAGAGCGCAAAGTACTAGGCTATATACAACTGCGCAAAGGGCCCAACATCGTAGGACCATTTGGACTGCTACAACCTATCGCAGACGCCCTAAAACTATTTACCAAAGAACCCCTACGACCCCTCACATCATCCATCTCCATATTCATCATAGCCCCCATCCTAGCACTTTCACTTGCATTAATCATATGAGTACCACTACCCATACCGTACCCACTCATCAATATAAACCTAGGTGTCTTATTCATACTAGCCATATCCAGTCTCGCCGTCTACTCAATCCTATGGTCGGGATGAGCCTCAAACTCAAAATACGCCCTAATTGGAGCCCTACGGGCCGTAGCTCAAACAATCTCATATGAAGTAACACTAGCCATCATTCTGCTATCAGTACTGCTAATGAACGGCTCATACACGCTAGCCGCACTAATCACCACACAAGAACATATCTGATTAGTCCTTCCCGCATGACCATTAGCCATAATATGATTCATCTCAACACTAGCAGAAACCAACCGAGCCCCCTTCGACCTAACAGAAGGAGAATCAGAGCTGGTTTCCGGCTTCAACGTAGAATACGCAGCAGGTCCTTTCGCCTTGTTCTTCATAGCAGAGTATGCCAACATCATTATAATAAACAGCCTAACAACAATCCTATTCTTCGGCGCATTCCACAACCCATACATGCCAGAACTATACACTATTAACTTCACCACCAAAACACTACTCCTCACAACCACCTTCCTATGGATCCGAGCATCCTACCCACGCTTCCGATACGACCAACTAATACACCTACTATGAAAAAATTTCCTGCCCCTTACACTCGCCCTGTGTATATGACATGTATCACTACCCATTATCACAGCCAGCATCCCACCCCAAATATAAGAAATATGTCTGACAAAAGAGTTACTTTGATAGAGTAAACCATAGAGGTTTAAATCCTCTTATTTCTAGAATTATAGGACTCGAACCTAATCTTAAGAACTCAAAAATCTTCGTGCTACCACATTACACTACATTCTACAGTAAGGTCAGCTAAATAAGCTATCGGGCCCATACCCCGAAAATGTTGGTTTATACCCTTCCCGTACTAATCAAACCCCCCATTCTCATCACCATCATATTCACCGTAATCGCAGGAACCACAATCGTACTAACAAGCTCACACTGACTCATAATTTGAATTGGGTTCGAAATAAATCTCCTAGCTATTATTCCAATCCTTATAAAAAAACATAACCCACGCTCCACAGAAGCAGCCACAAAATATTTCCTAATACAAGCCACCGCATCAATACTCTTAATAATAGGAATCATTATTAACCTCCTGCACTCAGGACAATGAACAATACCAAAAAACCCCAACCCCATAGCAACCACCATAGTAACAATCGCCCTAGCAATAAAACTAGGCCTAGCTCCATTCCACTTCTGAGTGCCAGAAGTTACACAAGGAATCCCCATATCCTCAGGCCTGATCCTACTAACATGACAAAAAATCGCACCCCTATCAGTCCTCTACCAAATCTCACCCATCATTAACCCCAACCTACTAATACCAATAGCAATCATATCAGTACTGATCGGGGGCTGAGGGGGACTCAACCAAACACAATTACGAAAAATCCTAGCATACTCCTCAATCGCCCACATGGGCTGAATAGCAGCAATCACACCATATAATCCCACTATAATAATCCTAAACTTAACAATCTACATCATCATAACACTAACAACATTCATGCTATTTATACACAACTCATCTACAACAACATCATCACTATCCCAAACATGAAACAAAACACCCCTGATTACATCCCTCATCCTCACCCTAATACTATCCCTAGGAGGCCTTCCACCCCTATCAGGATTTACACCAAAATGAATAATCATCCAAGAATTAACCAAAAACGAAATAATCATCATTCCAACCATGCTAGCCACCACAGCACTACTAAACCTATATTTCTACATACGACTCACCTACGCCACAGCACTAACCATATTCCCTTCAACAAACAATATAAAAATAAAATGACAATTCAACCCCACAAAAAAGATAATTCTCCTACCTCCCCTAACCGTACTATCAACCCTGCTACTTCCCCTAACACCACTAATATCAATCTTGGATTAGGAGTTTAGGTTAGACTAGACCAAGAGCCTTCAAAGCCCTAAGCAAGTTACACAGACTTAACTCCTGCATGCAACCCCAATAAGGACTGCAAGAATCTATCTCACATCAATTGATTGCAAATCAACCACTTTAATTAAGCTAAGCCCTTGCTAGACTGGTGGGCTCCAACCCCACGAACCTTTAGTTAACAGCTAAATACCCTAATCAACTGGCTTCAATCTACTTCTCCCGCCGCCTAGAAAAAAAAGGCGGGAGAAGCCCCGGCAGCGTTGAAGCTGCTTCTTTGAATTTGCAATTCAATATGATAATTCACCACAAGGCTTGGCAAAAAGAGGGCTCGAACCTCCGTCTTTAGATTTACAGTCTAATGCTTACTCAGCCATTTTACCTATGTTCATAACTCGCTGATTATTTTCTACTAACCACAAAGACATTGGCACCCTTTACCTTCTATTTGGTGCTTGAGCAGGTATGGTAGGGACTGCCCTCAGTCTCCTAATTCGAGCTGAACTTGGTCAACCTGGCTCTTTATTAGGAGATGATCAGATTTATAATGTAGTTGTTACCGCCCACGCATTTGTAATAATCTTTTTCATGGTCATGCCAATCATGATCGGGGGTTTCGGTAATTGATTAGTGCCTCTGATAATCGGCGCACCAGATATGGCATTCCCCCGGATAAACAATATGAGCTTTTGACTGCTACCCCCATCCTTCCTACTCCTACTTGCATCTTCAATGGTAGAAGCTGGCGCAGGTACTGGGTGAACCGTGTATCCCCCTCTAGCTGGCAATCTGGCCCATGCAGGAGCATCTGTAGACCTAACCATCTTTTCCCTCCACTTAGCAGGTGTCTCCTCAATCCTAGGTGCCATTAACTTTATCACAACCATCATTAATATAAAACCCCCAGCCCTATCACAATACCAGACACCTTTATTTGTATGATCTGTCCTAATCACTGCCGTACTACTACTTCTATCACTGCCAGTCCTAGCAGCTGGAATTACCATACTCCTAACAGATCGAAATCTTAATACAACCTTTTTCGACCCTGCCGGAGGGGGTGATCCTATTTTGTACCAACACTTATTCTGATTCTTTGGTCACCCGGAAGTATATATTCTAATTCTACCGGGATTTGGAATAATTTCACACATTGTTACATACTATTCAGGTAAAAAAGAACCTTTCGGTTATATAGGTATAGTTTGGGCCATAATGTCCATTGGTTTCCTGGGCTTTATTGTATGAGCACACCATATGTTTACAGTAGGCATGGACGTAGACACACGAGCATACTTTACATCAGCTACTATAATCATTGCCATCCCAACCGGAGTAAAGGTATTCAGCTGACTTGCAACCCTTCACGGAGGAAACATTAAATGATCCCCCGCTATGCTATGGGCCCTGGGCTTTATTTTCCTGTTTACCGTGGGTGGCCTAACGGGAATTGTATTGGCCAACTCCTCACTAGATATTGTCCTTCACGACACGTACTACGTAGTGGCCCATTTCCACTACGTACTATCCATGGGTGCAGTTTTCGCCATCATAGGAGGCTTCGTTCACTGATTCCCACTATTCTCAGGATATACTCTAGATGACACCTGAGCAAAAATCCACTTTACAATTATATTCGTGGGTGTTAACATAACATTCTTCCCTCAGCATTTTCTAGGTCTGTCCGGAATACCTCGACGTTATTCCGACTACCCAGACGCATATACAACCTGAAACACAATTTCCTCAATGGGCTCTTTCATTTCACTGACAGCTGTAATATTGATAATTTTCATAATTTGAGAAGCCTTTGCATCCAAACGAGAAGTGGCAATAGTAGAACAAACCACAACCAATCTTGAGTGGTTGCACGGATGTCCTCCCCCTTATCATACATTTGAAGAACCGACTTACGTTTCTCTAAAATAAGAAAGGAAGGAGTCGAACCCTCTGAAACTGGTTTCAAGCCAATGCCATAACCACTATGTCTTTCTCAATGAAGAGGTTCTAGTAAAAAAATTACATAACTTTGTCGAAGTTAAAGTATAGGCTTATACCCTTTGTACCTCTATGCCATACCCATTTCAACTAGGTTTCCAAGACGCCACTTCCCCTATTATAGAAGAACTCCTGCACTTCCACGACCACACATTAATAATTGTATTCCTAATTAGCTCCCTGGTACTATACATTATCTCACTCATACTAACAACCAAACTTACACATACTAGCACAATAGATGCCCAAGAAGTAGAAACTATCTGAACAATCCTGCCTGCCATTATCCTAGTCCTCATCGCACTACCCTCTCTACGAATCCTTTATATAATAGACGAAATCAACAACCCTTCTTTAACCGTGAAAACTATGGGTCATCAGTGATATTGAAGTTATGAGTATACAGACTATGAAGATCTAAACTTCGACTCATACATGATTCCTACACAAGAACTAAAGCCCGGAGAACTGCGGCTGTTAGAAGTCGACAACCGAGTGGTTCTACCCATGGAGATAACCATCCGAATGCTAATTTCATCCGAAGATGTCCTACACTCATGGGCCGTACCGTCCTTAGGCCTAAAAACCGATGCCATCCCAGGTCGACTCAACCAAACAACCCTAATAGGCACACGGCCTGGGCTATACTATGGGCAATGTTCAGAAATCTGTGGCTCAAACCACAGCTTCATGCCCATTGTCCTTGAATTAGTTCCACTAACTTACTTCGAAAAGTGATCAATAACCATACTTTAAGACCACTAAGAAGCTAATCAGAGCATTAACCTTTTAAGTTAAAGACTGAGAGTTTAAACCTCTCCTTAGTGACATGCCACAACTAGAGACGTCAACTTGATCAATCACTATCATGTCAATAGTCATCACACTATTTATTATATTTCAACTAAAAATCTCAAAATACACATACCCATGAAGCCCAGAACTCAAATCTTCTGCGACTCTAAAACAGCCCAGCCCCTGAGAAAAAAAATGAACGAAAATCTATTCTCCTCTTTCACTACCCCAACAATAATGGGCCTACCCATCGTTGTACTAATTATCATATTCCCAAGCATACTATTCCCCTCACCAAATCGATTGATTAGTAATCGCCTAGTCTCACTTCAACAATGACTAGTCCAACTAACAGCAAAACAAATACTGACCATCCACAGTCGTAAAGGACAGACATGAGCCCTAATACTAATATCTTTAATTATATTTATTGGCTCAACTAATCTACTCGGATTACTCCCACACTCATTCACACCCACAACACAACTCTCTATAAACCTAGGAATAGCCATCCCCCTGTGGGCAGCTACTGTGGTAGTTGGATTCCGACATAAGACAAAGGCATCCCTAGCTCACTTTCTACCCCAAGGAACACCTCTTCCCCTGATCCCTATGCTCGTAATTATTGAAACTATCAGCCTATTCATTCAACCTGTGGCCCTGGCCGTACGACTCACAGCCAACATTACTGCAGGCCACCTATTAATGCATCTGATCGGAGGAGCGGCCCTAGCCCTAATAAAAATCAACACCTCCATTGCTCTCATTACCTTTGTCGTCCTTGTTCTATTGACAATCCTTGAATTCGCCGTGGCCCTAATTCAGGCCTATGTCTTTACCCTACTAGTAAGCCTATATCTACACGACAATACCTAATGACCCACCAAACTCACGCCTACCACATAGTAAACCCAAGCCCATGGCCCCTCACAGGAGCCCTCTCAGCCCTGCTAATAACTTCGGGACTAGCAATATGATTTCACTTTAACTCAACACTGCTACTAACACTGGGAATAACAACCAACCTATTGACCATATACCAGTGATGGCGAGATGTTATTCGAGAAAGCACATTCCAAGGACACCACACACCCATCGTACAAAAGGGGTTGCGATACGGAATAGTCCTTTTTATCATTTCAGAAGTATTCTTCTTTGCAGGCTTCTTTTGAGCCTTTTACCACTCAAGCCTTGCCCCAACACCTGAGCTTGGAGGATGCTGGCCTCCCACAGGAATCATCCCTCTAAACCCCCTAGAAGTCCCCCTGCTAAACACCTCAGTGTTACTAGCCTCCGGCGTATCTATTACCTGGGCCCACCACAGCCTAATAGAAGGCAACCGCAAACAGATACTCCAAGCCCTATTTATCACCATTTCCCTGGGAGTTTATTTCACCTTACTCCAAGCCTCAGAATACTACGAAACATCCTTTACAATCTCTGATGGCGTGTACGGATCCACTTTTTTCATAGCCACAGGATTCCACGGACTGCATGTCATTATTGGATCCACTTTCCTTATTGTATGTTTCCTCCGCCAACTAAAATACCACTTCACATCCAGTCACCACTTCGGATTCGAAGCTGCTGCCTGGTATTGACACTTTGTAGACGTAGTATGATTATTCCTATATGTATCCATTTATTGATGAGGATCTTATTTCTTTAGTATCAATTAGTACAATTGACTTCCAATCAATCAGTTTCGGTCCAACCCGAAAAGAAATAATAAACATAATAATAACCCTCCTCATCAACACAACACTATCCGCACTACTAGTATTAATCGCATTTTGACTACCCCAACTAAATGTATATGCAGAAAAAGCAAGCCCATACGAGTGTGGCTTTGATCCAATGGGGTCAGCCCGCTTGCCCTTCTCAATAAAATTTTTCCTAGTTGCCATTACATTTCTGCTATTCGACCTAGAAATCGCACTACTACTCCCCCTCCCATGGGCCTCACAGACAAACAACCTATCAACCATGCTCACTATGGCCCTTTTATTAATCTCCCTTCTGGCCGCAAGCTTAGCATATGAATGAACCCAAAAAGGACTAGAGTGATCCGAATATGATAATTAGTTTAAACAAAACAAATGATTTCGACTCATTAGATTGTAGGCGTTCTATAATTATCAAATGTCTATTGTATATATTAATATCTTTTTAGCTTTCACTGTATCTCTTTTAGGTCTCCTAGTCTATCGATCACACCTCATATCCTCGCTACTATGCTTAGAGGGCATGATGCTGTCTCTATTCATTATAATAACTGTAGTAATCCTAAATAACCACTTCACACTAGCCAACATGACTCCAATCATCCTTCTAGTATTCGCTGCCTGCGAAGCAGCCCTGGGCCTGTCCCTACTAGTAATAGTCTCTAATACTTACGGAACTGACTACGTACAAAATCTGAACCTCTTGCAATGCTAAAAATCATTATTCCAACTATAATACTAATCCCCCTTACTTGACTGTCCAAACCCACCATAATTTGAATTAACTCAACAGCCCACAGCCTGCTAATCAGCCTTATTAGTCTATCCTACCTTAACCAATTCAATGACAACAGCCTCAACTTCTCATTACTCTTTTTCTCAGACTCACTTTCCGCACCCCTACTAGCACTAACAACCTGGCTCCTACCCCTAATGCTGACAGCCAGCCAATACCATCTGTCAAAAGAAACCACTACCCGAAAAAAGCTATACATTACCATACTTACCTTTCTCCAACTATTTCTAATTATAACATTTACTGCCACAGAACTTATCATATTTTATATCCTATTCGAAGCCACACTCGTACCCACTTTAATTATTATCACCCGATGAGGTAACCAAACAGAACGACTTAATGCAGGACTGTACTTTATATTCTACACCCTAGTGGGCTCACTACCTTTACTAGTCGCACTATTATATATCCAAAACACAACTGGCTCCCTAAACTTCCTAATCGCACAATACTGAGTCAAACCTATTTCAACCACTTGGTCCAATATCTTCCTATGACTAGCATGCATAATGGCCTTTATAGTAAAAATACCCCTGTACGGACTACACCTATGACTCCCCAAAGCACACGTAGAAGCCCCTATCGCCGGATCAATAGTCCTAGCAGCCGTACTTTTAAAGCTAGGGGGCTATGGAATAATACGCATTACTGTACTACTAAACCCTCTAACCGGTCAAATAGCATACCCATTCCTAATATTATCCCTATGAGGCATAATCATAACAAGCTCCATCTGCTTACGCCAAACAGACTTAAAGTCTCTAATCGCATACTCATCAGTAAGTCACATGGCCCTGGTAATTGTAGCAGTACTCATCCAAACACCATGAAGTTACATAGGAGCAACAGCCCTAATAATTGCCCACGGACTCACATCATCCATATTATTCTGCCTAGCAAACTCAAACTATGAGCGCGTACACAGCCGAACCATAATCCTAGCACGAGGACTACAAACCCTATTGCCACTAATAGCTGCCTGATGACTACTAGCCAGTCTAGCAAACCTAGCTCTTCCACCAACCATTAACCTGCTAGGAGAACTATTTGTAGTAATAGCATCCTTTTCATGATCCAACATCACCATCGCCCTCATAGGGACAAACATCATCATCACAGCCCTATACTCTCTATACATGCTAATCACGACCCAACGGGGAAAACAAACAAGCCACATTAAAAACATCAAACCGTCATTTACACGAGAAAACGCCCTAATAGCCCTGCACCTCCTCCCACTACTACTCCTCTCGCTCAATCCTAAGATCGTTCTAGGACCTATTTACTGTAAACATAGTTTAACACAAAACACCAGATTGTGAATCTGGTAATAGAAGATTGAACCTTCTTGTCTACCGAAAAAGTACGCAAGAACTGCTAATTCATGCCCCCATGCTTAAAAGCATGGCTTTTTCAACTTTTATAGGATAGAAGTGATCCGTTGGTCTTAGGAATCAAAAAATTGGTGCAACTCCAAATAAAAGTAATAAATCTATTTAACTCTCTTATTACAACAGCAATGTTCATTCTACTTTTGCCGATCATCATAACTAGTACTCAAGTGTATAAAAACAACCTGTATCCTAACTACGTAAAAACTACAACTTCCTATGCTTTCGCCATTATTACAATTCCAGCCCTAATATTTATTTACTCAGGACAAGAAACAATTATCTCAAATTGACACTGAATAACAATCCAAACACTAAAACTCTCCATAAGCTTTAAACTCGACTACTTCTCAATTATTTTCGTACCCGTAGCACTCTTCGTCACATGATCTATTATAGAATTTTCAATATGATATATACATGCCGATCCACATATCAACCGGTTCTTTAAATACCTTCTCATATTTCTTATCACTATAATTATTCTAGTAACCGCCAACAACCTATTTCAGTTATTCATCGGTTGGGAGGGGGTAGGAATCATATCTTTCCTGCTTATCGGGTGATGATATGGTCGAACAGACGCCAATACTGCAGCCCTGCAAGCAGTGCTTTATAACCGCGTCGGAGACGTAGGGTTCATTCTAGCCATAGCATGATTTCTCACCAACTCAAACACATGAGAACTTCAGCAAATCTTTATTACAAAACACGAAAACCTAAACACACCTTTAATAGGACTCCTCCTAGCAGCCACTGGCAAATCCGCCCAATTTGGCCTACACCCATGACTACCCTCAGCCATAGAAGGACCCACACCTGTATCAGCCCTACTCCACTCAAGCACAATGGTGGTAGCCGGTGTATTCCTATTAATCCGCTTTCATCCCCTGATAGAACAAAGCAAGACCGCACAGACCCTCACACTATGCCTAGGGGCCACCACCACCCTATTTACAGCAATCTGCGCCCTAACACAAAACGATATCAAGAAAATCGTTGCCTTCTCTACCTCCAGCCAACTAGGCCTCATAATCGTAACAATCGGAATTAACCAACCATACCTTGCATTCCTGCATATCTGCACACACGCATTCTTTAAAGCCATATTATTTATATGCTCCGGCTCAATTATCCACAGTCTAAATGATGAGCAAGACATTCGAAAAATAGGCGGATTATTCAAATCAATACCATTCACCACCACCTCCTTAATCGTAGGAAGCCTTGCACTCACAGGAATGCCCTTCCTAACAGGATTCTACTCTAAAGACCTAATTATCGAAGCCGCCAACATGTCATACACCAATGCTTGGGCCCTACTAATAACACTCATCGCCACATCCCTAACAGCCGTCTACAGTACCCGAATCATATTCTTCGCACTCCTAGAACAACCCCGCTTTAACCCTCTAAACCTAATCAATGAAAATAACCCCTTCCTAATTAACTCTATCAAACGTCTCCTAGTCGGAAGCATTCTTGCAGGCTATTTAATCTCCCACAACATCCCCCCAATAACCACCCCCCAAATAACTATACCCTATTACCTAAAACTAACTGCCCTTGCAGTTACTATCACAGGCTTTGTCTTAGCACTAGAACTCAACCTCATAACCAAAAACCTAAAACTCAACCCTGCTTCAAGCATATTTAAATTTTCCAACCTCCTAGGATATTTCCCAACCATCACCCACCGCTCCCTACCACTAGCCAGCCTAACAATAGGCCAAAAATCCGCATCAACACTACTAGACCTCATTTGACTAGAAAATGTATTACCAAAATCCATTTCACACTTCCAAATAAAATCATCAATCATCGTATCCAACCAAAAGGGACTAATCAAACTCTACTTCCTGTCATTCATAATCACCCTAACAATCAGCCTACTCTTACTTAATTACCACGAGTAATCTCCATAATTACTAAAACACCAGTAAGTAATGATCAGCCCGTCACAATAACCAACCAGGTCCCATAACTATACAAGGCAGCAATTCCTATGGCCTCCTCACTAAAAAAGCCTGAATCACCAGTATCATAAATCACCCAATCACCCGCACCATTAAACTTAAAAACAACTTCAATTTCGTTTTCCTCAAGAATATAGCAAGCTGTTAACAACTCTGCCAACACCCCTGTAATAAACATTGCCAACACAGCCTTATTAGAAACCCAGGCCTCAGGATAAGGCTCCGTCGCCATGGCCGTAGTATAACCAAACACCACAAGCATTCCCCCCAAGTAGATTAAAAAAACCATTAAGCCTAAAAATGATCCACCAAAACTCAACACAATACCACACCCAATACCGCCAGCCACAATCAAACCAAAACCCCCGTAGATTGGTGAAGGCTTTGAAGAAAAACTAACAAAGCTCACCACAAATATAGTACTTAGGATAAATACAATGTATGTTATCATTATTCCCACATGGAATTTAACCATGACCAATGGCATGAAAAACCATCGTTGTATTTCAACTACAAGAACTTAATGACCAACATTCGAAAATCTCACCCGCTCATTAAAATTGTCAACGAATCATTCATCGATCTCCCCACCCCATCCAACATCTCAGCATGATGAAACTTCGGATCGCTATTAGGAATCTGCCTAATCTTACAGATTCTGACAGGCCTATTTCTAGCCATACACTACACATCAGACACAACAACCGCCTTTTCATCAGTAACACACATCTGCCGAGACGTCAACTATGGCTGAATTATCCGATATATGCACGCCAACGGGGCCTCCATGTTTTTCATCTGCCTGTTCATGCACGCCGGCCGAGGAATGTACTACGGATCCTACACGTTCTCAGAAACATGGAACATTGGAATTCTACTATTATTTACAGTAATAGCCACCGCATTCATAGGTTACGTCTTACCATGAGGCCAAATATCATTCTGAGGTGCCACAGTTATCACCAACCTCCTATCAGCCATCCCATATATCGGGACCAACCTAGTAGAATGGATCTGAGGGGGCTTCTCAGTGGATAAAGCCACATTAACACGATTCTTCGCCTTCCACTTCATCCTCCCATTTATCATCCTGGCCCTGGCAATCATCCATCTGCTATTCCTGCACGAAACAGGCTCCAATAACCCCTCAGGAATGACATCAGACACAGACAAAATCCCATTCCATCCCTACTACACCATTAAGGACATCCTAGGCCTCCTACTCCTAATCCTAATACTAATGCTCCTAGTACTATTCTCACCAGACCTCCTAGGAGACCCCGACAACTACACACCAGCCAACCCCCTAAACACCCCACCACATATCAAGCCAGAGTGATATTTCCTGTTCGCATACGCAATTCTTCGATCCATCCCTAACAAACTAGGAGGCGTATTAGCCTTGATTCTATCAATCCTAATTCTAGCAGTAGTGCCACTGCTGCACACCTCAAAACAACGAGGAATAATGTTCCGACCAATCAGCCAATGTCTGTTCTGACTCTTAGTGGCAGACCTACTAACTCTAACATGAATTGGAGGACAACCAGTGGAACACCCATTCATCACCATCGGCCAGCTCGCCTCCATCATATACTTCTCCATCATCTTAATCCTAATACCCATCTCCGGTATCATCGAAAATCATCTTTTAAAATGAAGAGCCTTTGTAGTACATATAATACCTTGGTCTTGTAAACCAAAAAAGGAGAGTACACCCTCCCTAAGGCTTCAAGGAAGAAGCAACAGCTCCACCATCAACACCCAAAGCTGAAATTCTATTTAAACTATTCCTTGCAAACCCCACTCCCCTAAATACCAAAAACCCATGCGTCCGCAACGCCACAAACACCAAAGCAAACATCCGCCCACCAACTTCGCCAGAACACAATATACACATTTCGTGCCAATCACGTAGTATTCATAGATACCAAAATATTAACAACAACAACCAAGCATTCACGCTATCAAAACACACCACCCACACTAACATATTAAACAACCAACCCCAAACGCACCCACCACACAATCACATAACTAACCACCCCACTCAAGCAGTAACACGTCTGCGTAAGCTTAATGTATTAGGACATGTCATGCATATTACACGCGAGTTATAGTCCTGCAAGCACAATACACTAAGGCATCTCATGTACACTGCACACACTAATTAACAGCGCTTGCATAATTGTAATGTATTAAGACATACTATGTATATCGTGCATTAATTGATAGTCCCCATGAATATTAAGTACCTATATAACTGTAATGTATTAAGACATACTATGTATATCGTGCATTAATTGATAGTCCCCATGAATATTAAGTACCTATATAACTGTAATGTATTAAGACATACTATGTATATCGTGCATTAATTGATAGTCCCCATGAATATTAAGCATGCACAATATATTCATGATATTACATAAGACATATAGTGTATAACGTGCATAAGACTAGTTTAATCAACTATACCCTATGGATCTTAATTATCCGAGAGCTTAATGACCATGCCTCGAGAAACCAGCAACCCTTGCTTGGGCGTGTATCTCTTCTCGCTCCGGGCCCATTTCAACGTGGGGGTTTCTATACCGAAACTATACCTGGCATCTGGTTCTTACTTCAGGACCATTACGAACCTCAATCCAATCCTTCATTTATCTCAAATGGGACATCTCGAT